CCAAAAAAAAAAAAAACAAAACAAAACAAAAACAAAAAAAAACAAAAAAAAAAAACAAAAAAAACAGCTCGTAGACAGGCATGTCTCATGTCAAACTGTAAGAACTCCAGCCCAATCGAAATTTCTTTGTCGCAAAACAGATTTTGTTGGCACGCAACAAAAGCAGATATTTTATTACACTCTCAAAATTCATCGCTTTCGCGAGGCGACGTACCGTAAAACTACAGAATATTAAGTATCGTACCTGCGACCTCAAACGTATGCAATTCTGAGTGTAGCACGTAGATTTAAATTGATGTGACTGAACGCAATGCCGTAGCCAGCTGTTGGGACAATCCCACACAATTTTTCTAATGGGTCCACATTTTTAAAAATGGTCCAAATTATATAATTTTATGCATAAAGTAGGTCCACTTTTTGAAAAATGGATCCAGATTTGTTATATTTAGCTTAAAATGGATAAAATTTAAGAAAATGGGTCCAGATTTTTCATGTTTTTGCGTAAAATGGGTCCACATTGTTTTGTCCCGCACTGTTTGAAAATCCTGGCTACGGCTTGGCTAAACGGTATGAAAAGTTCATAATGCTGCCACACCTGCGATCAAATAATAGGTGGCGGCAATGCAATTTCGTATCTGCGCAGTTTTTAATATCATTCTTAACAACTTTCTCTATGACAAGGTGGACGTAAATATGATTTCTAACGCTGCTGACGGAATCTCAATTGAGGTTTGCTCTACCCAAGAACTTATAAGTCATTCTTCTAGCACCTACGCCTTTGAAAACTCATCGGCAGTATGTATACTGTTAGACAGTCAAAACTGCAATGCAAGGGTTTCCAAAAAAAACTTAACTCGACCAAAATGCACAGCTGACACGATGATCTGCAAAAGGAAAATGTCAATTGTGTTGATAATAGGCCTACTTATATTACTCATCATTATTCCTGTCTTGGTGTTGGAAGGTAAATTACCAATTATAGATATATATATATATATATCTGTCTCTTATACAAGGACCTGCCCGACGGAGGGGCTAGGGGACCCGACGTGGGGGGGGGGGCTAGTGGAACGATTGGAGTCTCACCTGGGGGCCAGGGGGTCACCTAGGGCCCCCCAGTGGGGTCCAGGGGGCTTTGCTCCCTGGAAGCCACGGATATTTGATGAATTATGGCGAATTTGTACCGTATTATTTGATAGGCATCGAGTTACTATAATATGACTTCATGTAGGCCTAGGCTATGCTTTCTAATGTTGAAATCAGCTTCCAAAACCAAAACATTTTGAATGAAACAAGAAACAAAGAGTATGCAATGTAACCATCTAATTAAGTGAAATTCTGTATTTTGGAAATTTTGCATGAAATCTGTCAACCACGCTTTCATGGTCGAGGTTGCTTCACCTATCACGATGTATTCCAACCACCATGAGGCTATCTATATGAGCATTTTTCATAACAGAACGTAAATTATTGTTAATTAGTCTAATTGAATTATTATTATTATTATTATTATTATTATTATTATTATTATTATTATTATTAATAATATTATTAATATTATTATTATTAATATTATTATTATTGTTATTGTTATTGTTGTTGTGATGAAAAGTTATTATTGTTGTTGTGATGAAAAGTCATTCCTGATGATGACATAATTAATGTCGAAATATTGAATCCCAACACGATGGCGTGTATTTCAATACTTGGAGTATGTATTATACTTTCTTATGAAAAGTTAACACAAACAATATGGTGGCTAAACGAATATTACATGTAAATATTTCTTTTATTTGTTTGTTCCCCCGGTGGGGGCTATGCTTCCCCGACGGGGGGGGGGGCTATATCCCCAGCCCCCCTCTGGCGCCACCACTGTCCAAGTATGCCTAATTATAAGCATAACTAAAGTAGACGCAGACACCAAAAACAACAACGATACTTCGACTTGTATTAGCCATAGAAATATTTTTTATTTGCGAGATTTTTCGGCAACTCCTGTTACTTTCGTCGGCGCTTGAGTATCTTTGAAAAACTTTACATGTCTAGAATAGGTGACTAAGCGGGTCTTTAAACAATTGAGGACATGGTCTTATCACTTTATGAGGGAGGTCCTAAGCATGACAGTTGAAAATATAAACATGCATAGGTATTCTGTAAAGCGCCGACGAATAGTAGTTGCCGAAAATGTCGCAAATAAACTATTTCTATGTCTTCCTACAAGTATATCTTAGCTGTTTATTGTATCTGCGTCTACTTCGAGCCAGCTGTCTTGATTGTCAATACAGAATCTTAGAGTAAGCATCGGGGCAACAGACGGTGCCACATTTTTTTTTATAAGTATTGTTTTTTATTGTCTAGTTAATACAGCCAGCTTGTCATATTTTACTAAACACTTTTAAACTGGGAAAGACAGCATGTGCTGCCGACCCGGCAAAGATTTCGTTTAATAAATATATGTCTCAAATTATGTCAAAGTGTCCGACGTTTGTTTGTAGTCTTATTCCATGCCATCGAGACTGACGTGGAACAGCATCGACTACATCGATTCTATATGAATGGAATGTATTTCAGTTGGCTAAAAATCCGGTATATACACAAATGATATATAGACAAATAATGTAAAAGATAATATTATTTACTGTGTAGGCCTATAGCCAATGCGTTCTATACCATCGCGACATATCGTGGAACATCATCGATTCTATTTGAATGTGTAATGTATTCCATTTGGCTAAAAATTCGATATACTGTATAAACAAATAAAGATAAATACTATAAAAGTACAATATTATTTACTGTAGAGTATATAGGCATAAATGTTATTTGCCATTCTATACTATCGAGATATACGTGGAACATCATCGAATACATCGATTCGATATGAATGTGTAATGTATCCCAGTTGGTTAAGAATATCGAAATAAATATAGATAAATAATGTAACAGTATAATATTATCTACTGTATATATGCACAAAGGTTATATATCATTCTATACCATCGAGACATACGTGGAACATCATCAACTATCGATTCAGTTGGTTGAAAACAAATAACTTAAAATTCTGTTGTGATGTGACACTAAACAAGTATTTTGTTTTATTTGCCCTAATATTATCTACTGTATATAGGCATAAAGATTACATATCATTCTATACCATCGAGACATACGTGGGACATCAGCGACTATCGATTCTATATGAATGTTTAATGTATCCCAGTTGGTTAAAAATTCGATATAAACAAATATAGATAATTAATGTAACACTATAATATTATCTACTGTATATAGGCATAAAGGTTATATACCATTCCATATCATCGAGACACACGTGGAACATCATCGACTACGTCGATATTATATGGATGTGTAATGTATCCCAGTTGGTTAAAAATTCGAAACAAATATCTTAAAATTGTGTTATGATGTGACGCTAAACAAGTATTTTTTTTTATTTGGTCTAATATTATCTACTGTATATAGGCATACAGATTAGGCCTACATATCATTCTATACGGTACCATCATACGTGGAACACCATCGACTATCGATTCGATATGAATGTGTAATGTATTGGTTAAAGATTCGATAACGGTATATAAAAAATAGAGATAAATAACTAATAGGCCTAATATAATATTATTTACTTTATGTAGGCATAAAAGCTATATAATATTTATAAATAATCAATAACTCTTATTTCCTGTCCAATATATTGCAGTCGGTAACAAGTATTCGATGCCACCGACGACTGGCGAGATCCCATTGAATGCAGCTGAAGCGAATATCCAACCAACACTTGTTCCAGGTAAGAATAGGCTTACCGCTTGCAGTGGTGATGCCCAATTTCTAGCCAGCTATGGACAGTCCCACACAATTTTTCTATTGTGTTCACAAAGAATGGATCTTTTAAAAATGGGTCTAAATTGTTCTGTTTTATGCACAAAATGGGTCCACCTTTTGAAAGACTCTATTTCCCATATTTTGCGTAAAATGGGTCAAATTTAAAGACAATGGGTCTAGATTTTTCATATTTTTGCGTAAAATGGGTCAACTTTTAAGAAAATGGGTCCATGTTATTTGAATTTACGCGTAAAGTGGACCGTCCCTGATTGTCCCATGGAACTGTTTAAAAATTCTGGCTACGGCATTGGTGGTGCCATCGGATGGAGGAGGGGGTGGGGCAGGGAATCCTCCCCCGTCGGCAAGCCTGGTCCCTTGTCGTCTGACGCCACGATAAGGTTGTCGAAGCAAAAATAATGATTTGCCTATCCAAATAACGATATTTTGATTGTCAATCCCTGATAAAAGCACAATTCTAAAAGCACAATTTGGTTCATACTAAAACCATAAAACCCTCCCCGTATAAAACCTACTAGAGATTTTTTCCCGAGACCCTGACCAACGCCGGTTTCTTGGTTCGGACCCCTGTCGAACATATCGAACCCACTGTCGGCAAATTTCTGGAGCCACCACTGACCGCTTGATCAGTCAATTCCAAGAAAAATATAAGAGAATAATGAGCCATACATAGTGTAATTAAACAAAAAATATATCAACTTTAATAGATTAATAATTTTAAGAAATTTCAGTTTTGTTTAGCAATGACTGCCACCTTGGACCAATATCCGCAGAAACAATAAGCATAATAAAAGGGGAAAACAATTAGTATTAGGCCTAATAATATTAATTACAATTTGTTTAAACCCTATTTATAGCGGGTGACAATACCAGCGTCTAATCTAATCTAATCATATATATTTAAATAGCGCCTTTCTTTGCAGATACGAAGCGCTTCTGTCCCTGGTCATTGGATCCACATGCTAAGTGTTGAACTGAACTGAACTTTATTGGAACACTTTTGTATCAGTGGCACACACCATCTGGTGGTGCGTCCAAATAACAAGCGATATTTTACAAAATACAAAGAAAAGATAAAAAAAAAAACAATCAAGTATAAAAAAAAAACGAATCAAAATGATAGAAAGTAAACATTAATTAGTACGATGGAAGGAATATTCCATGACTAAGAGATGGGCTGCCCAAATCTACAAGGCGGAGCCTAGCCGAATGGAGCAGTCTAAGTTTTAGAGAATTACTTATTTACAATCAGTACTGTTGGTCTTAAATTTAAAACACACCTAAAAAAGGTCCTTGTCATTTGAAGAATAACTACCAAAAGTAATAATAATTTGTTTCTTCATTTCCTTCTCCTTTCTTTTCCTTTTCTCTTTCGTCTTTTTTTTTTGCCCGCCCTTCTTTTTTCCCCTTCCCCTCTTCAACCCCCTTTTTTAAACAATTCAAATGACAAAGAGAAATTTAGGTGTGTAATAAAATAATAAATAATGATAACAATAAATAAAGGCATAATAACAAACAACTTAATGACTACAAACCTAACTAATACAGTAACAGTGAGGGAAAAGAAAGAAACCATAAAGTACAGTTTAATTTCTTTAGGAGGGTAATGTTGTTGCTGTATTCAGCCCCCACAAGGTACCAATTTGTACTCCTGGGTGGAGAGAACAATGCAGATAAAGTGCCTTGCTCAAGGACACAAGCGAAATGCACAGCGGGGGATTGAAACCCCGGCTTCGAGGTTGGGAAACCAAACCTTTCACGTTGCGCCAAACCACCTCCTAGAAGGTCGGCTAATATAATATTCAATCAGCGAAGTCATATTATGAGGCTTAGGGAGTGGAGTTGTTTTTAGTCGTTCGTAAGAAAAAGCACCCTGGGATTAGAAGGAAGCATCTTAATAACCACTAATGTATTCAACTACACTCATTAATAACAATCATTATCTCAAAGGGTCTTAAATGATAAAAAAAAAAAAAACAAAAAAAAAAAACAAACAAACAAACAAAAAAACGATCAAAGTGAAAGTACCCACAAATAGTGGTAAAACAGATAGTAGTAAAACATTACGTAATGCTAACCATCTCTCCTTACCCAAGATACGTACAAAACGGTTCAAAAATAGTCCAATCCCTTATTTGACCAATTTGTGGAATAAGGATGCTTCAACAGACTAGTGCTTTTATTCTTAGTTCATGAGTTACTTTTAATTGGATTGATGGTCACTTTAACGTTTATTCTTATTGAGTTTTGGCTTTGTGGAATTGTGGATTTTTGTTTTATGTTTGGTACTTGCATTTCTTTGATGGTTTTTCATTTTCATTAATTAATTGGTCCCTGGTTTTTTCTTTAAATGTAAAATGTGAATGTTAAATTTTGTAAAATTGTATAAATTCAGCCTTTGGCTGCCATGAAAAATTTTTGATGTTTTTTTATGAATAAATATACCTTGAATAAAAATGGTATAATAAGCTCAGTTGGCATTGAGTGTTAGGAGATGACAGTTTATGGTTCATAAATATTAATTTAAAATAAACTATAAACTAAATTAATTAGTATTCATGAATATTAATATGTATAATTAAACTTTGTAGACCGCACCAATGTCACACAGTCCACACAATCGATAAATAATACGGCAACTGAAACTCGGTCAATATCAAGAAGCACATTTAGTACAACTTCTGCCAAGAACTGTGAAGAGTGGAAATGCAAGAATGGTAACTGCGTCTCCAATGACGACCTTTGTAATAAAATAGACAATTGTGGTGACAATACCGACGAATATACATGTGGTAAGATTGTAGTCTTCATCATAATTATCATCATCAACATCATAATTATCATCGTCCACATTTGCCCCGGCTCCTCGGCGCCACTGCATATAATACAGGTAGTGTAGACATAATATCTTGACCAAGGACCGAAACATCAAAATCGACCCGTCTATGGCAAATTAAATGTGGAATGCCACATCCAGACAAGCTAGATGAATATTAAACAATTTTATTTAATAATATTATACTTAAAGTCCCCTTAATAGGGAATCCCTATTAAGGGGACACTAACCAAAAACGTAAAATTGTCCCCTTAATAGTGGTTTTGGCACATAGTTATACAACAACAGGACATAGATTCTTGATAGGCCTAATTTGTTAAAAGATATATTTCCCCTCGTTTCACGAAAGTGTCCCCTTGATAGGGGTTTCCCAAGAAAAGGGGCTCTATACTAACGTTGTTTTGTTTTTCTCTTTCCCAGACTGTGGAGAGGAGGGAACAGAGTTTTTCTGCGACGACGGCCTCTGTGTCCACCAAATATGGGTATGTGATGGCAAGGCACAGTGCTTCGGCGGTGAAGATGAAAGAGGCTGTGAGACTTAAGTGTGTGATGACATAGCCATAAACGTATAGTGACATTCCACGGCGGATGATACATAATGAACAGTTTGTACTAGGTGCCATAACGGCGGTGGCGCCAGACATTTGCCGACATGTCCGACGGAGGGGTCCAAATTAAGGGACCGACGAAGCCTCGGTCGACAACCTGTAATAATTAACTGTAATAATTAATTGTAATAATTAACGACTCAGGTAATAATTAAGATTTTTTACATTCTACATTATTATTAAAGAACTGCATTTATAACAATAATATTAATACAATTATTAAGTTCCTTTTAATTCTTTTTAAAACAATTCATTCTAATTCACCTTGCTATATCTTAAATTATGGATATACAAAAATCCGAAGTGAAACACTAAATATAATGTGTTGGAATGTAACTGACCTCATCAATAAACTGGACACCACACATTTTATAGATTTATGTAAGTCGAATTACATCTGTAGGTTTATTCAAACAGGGTCGTGACAAAGTGCGAGCCAGCAAATCATGCGAGCCAATGCGCGAGCCATGCGAGCCATACATTTTAAATCCTTTTTTTTCACCGGGGAGCTTTGCCTGTGTAGTCCAGTCATGCGCAGTACATACACTTTTTCGAATCGTCGATCCGGAAGTATGCAGCGCTGATAGAGATGTTGTTAAAATACAGATTATACAGATACATACATACAGAAATATTTATATATATGTACTGTATTTATTTATATATCTATTTACATATATATATATATTATTTTATATATACTGTATATATTTATTTATATATTTTAATATTTATTTGTATATTTATATGTATATATATTTATTTGTATATTCATTTATATATATATAGGCCTATGTATATATTTATTATATATTTATTTGTATATTTATTTTTATATACTTATTTGTGTATATATATTTATATATTTATTTATTTATATACATATACTGTATTATTGTTTTATATTATATACTGTAATTAGTTATATATTTATTTATATATTTGTTTGTATACTTTTTTGTATATTTATTTATATATTTATTTGTATGTATTTACATATATTTATATATATTTATATGTTTATATATTTATTTATATAATTATTTAATTTTATTTATATATTGTTTGTATATTTATTTGTATATTTAT